AAAGTCGTACTAAAATACGCTATTTGAAGGGGGCGTGGCCTAAATGCAAATGTCCGATTGGGATTTTAAATTTTCCGGACCCCTGCGTAAAACCATACTCACTCACTCACTCACTCACTCACTCACTCACTCACTCCTGGTGTCATCACTGGTTTTCACTGATCCATTCATATAATTTTCATCACTATTTTGACTTTTACACCCAGTGGAATCTGTTTCGGCAGATAGTAGAGAACAAATATTCTCCGATGTTGACGTTTTGAATTTATTGTAAAACATTGCAAATGTTGATTGATTTAGGTTGTTTAAGTTTCTTAAAAGATATACCCTGTGGGCTTTTCAGGAAAGATAGACCCCAGGGACTCATGGTTGTTATAAAATAAGGATCTGATTGTCAGACTCTATAAATGTTTGCCATTGTACTGTGATGGAAGGGACTGTTGCTCATGTTTTCAGTCACTGGTTTGCCTGGGTTTTAGCTTGAGGGATAGATCTTGAATATTTCTGAATGCAACATTTAGCAGCATTCAGCAACATTCACTAACTCATTCACTCCCTCTTCAGAGATTTTGTGAATATTCAGAAAAAATACGTATATAAAAAATGAAGCTAAAGATGTCATTTGCAAAGGAAATCTGAGCATTTATGCCACTTCATTTCAATATAAGGTGAAACCAATCAATGACACAATTCTTTAGGGAACAACGTGCATTTGATGATTGCTGTCATTATCATATGATATTGTCATACCATTGTATCAGTTTTATTGTAAAGAGGTGTTTTATGAGGTGTAAAGAGATGTCTGAGTGTTCATGCCATTCATACCTGGAAAGATGTTGAATGTCTGACTTCTTCATGCAAGTAATGTCAAACATTGAAACTTGGTTATATTGAAAGTCCTCACAAGAATGAATATATTGAGTTACCCCTGTATTCATTGTTACAGATAGGCCATTGGTGATATGTTAGATCCTCATATAGTCTGAAAAAGAATTCAGCCAGAGCCATAAAAGTTCATTATGTTGGAAGTGATATATTTTCAAACAAGTGCCATATTTAGTGAGTGAGTGAGTATGGTTTTATGCCGCTTTTGGCAATATTCCAGCAATATCACGGCAGGGGACACCAGAAATGGGCTTCACACATTGTACCCATGTCGGGAATCGAACCTGGGTCTTCAGCGTACGAGCGAACGCTTTAACTACAAGGCTACCCGACCACCCAAGTGCCATATTGTCTTTGTAAGCTTACACATACATAAAATATATTTTCAGGAATTTTTATTCATTTTAGTCTGCCTCTGAGGTCTTGTGAATAGAGAATATGTCCAGAGAGCAGAGGGTCAGTGGTCCGATCACCTGGTCGTGTTATACCAAAAGACATGAAAAGATGGTAGTTGTTGTTACCCTGCCTGGTGCTTGGCATTAAGGGGATAAGATAATGACTGGTCAGCTCAGAGTCTGTGTGTGTCTGAGTGGGGTATTCATGTTAAACTGTGGCATGGTATCTCAGTGGGCTCGTACTATAATACCAGCATTAATCCGGACTAGTACAAGCAGCCACACAGACACAGACAGACACACAAACACACACATCACTATAAAAGTTCAGTAATCGAGAACCCGGCATTAAACCTAATTTAACCTCACCTATTCTAAACTCTAACATGTACACTTTCTACAAACCTGGAGTGAGTGAGTGAGTATGGGTTTACGCCGCTTTTAACAATATTCTAGCAATATCACGGCGGGGGACACCAGAAATGGGCTTCACACATTGTACCCATGTCGCGAATCGAACCCGGGTCTTCGGCGTGACGAGCGAACGCTTTAACCACTAGGCTATCTGACCGCCCCCCTACAAACCTGGAACCCTACAACGAAGTATGTGATGGTAGACAACCATCTCACCAGTGTCTCGGTCATATTTAAGCTTTTGATCTTGATGTGTAATTCATAAAATTCAAATTGGCAACCACAAAAACAAGTATTTATCTTAATGGAATTGTTAACTTATCTCGATACCTTCACTGAAATAATTGTACTGACAGGACCTGAATAGTATAAGTAGTCCCCTCATCCTTTTAGGAGACACTCGCAACCCAGCTGTAAAATTGGGTATTCTGAGGGAACAGGGATGATGCCATTGCCGAGGTTTACCTTTCTTCAATGTCTTCAATTTTGTTAATGAAACTGGAATGTAGATTATTTCGAAGTATGGATCCAGTGTCCAAATATATATTCCATTGACGTGTAGTCGCTCCTCTCCTTGCCAAAACCATCAAAAGTATGGAAGTCCGACAATCTCTGCAATCGTATTACATCTAAACTTGACTGGAAGTGGTCTGCTCTGAGTTAATAACATTGAAATGGTTTTGTAGATGTGTCTTGGAGTAAGGTATATAGCTGATTGATGTACGAAAATGTGTTGCTTGGCTATAGTTGAGGTTGGGGCAGACAGACCAGAGGAATTAATTTACAAGGATTACTATTAATGTGGGAAGACCTTTAGACGGAGGATATTAGTAGTATTCAGTTTGAATGACAGATATGAGTCATGCTGAAGCTCACCAAGAGAAGTAGAGACAACTGTTTTCTTGAAGACTATGTTGTGTCCATAAGCACTGCGGCCAGCTCCGTGGTGTATAGTGGACTGAGCATCTGCCTGGAGAGTGGAAGGTTAGCGGTTAGATCCCTGGCCACATCATACCAAAAGATGTTAAAAGATGGTACTTGTTGTTATCCTGCTTGGTGCTCCACATTAGGGAGATAAAATAAGGACTGGTCTGCTCAGAGTATAATGTGTCTGTGTGGGGAATCTATGTTAAACTGCAGTGGGGTATATCAGTGGGCTGGCACTACAGACAAGACAGACAGACAGACAGACAGACAGACAGACAGACACACACACACACACACACACACACACACACACACACACACACACACACACACACACACACACACACACACACACACACACACACACAAATATCTTGGACCCGACTTTGAACCCCATTTCACCTCACCTGAATGAACTGGTAAATATAACAAGACATTAATGTCTGTACTGCTACCCAGAGACAGTATCAAGGCAGGTCTCGGATATAAGCGGCCAGGTGACTTACACTACTCAAGAATTGAGGGTCGTTTTGTATCCCCCGCCCAACAAAGATGGCTGGGGATATAGAAATGGGCTCCGTCCGTCCATCCATCCATCCGTCCGTCACGTTTCGTTTCCAGAGCATAATTCAGAAACTGTTCAATATTTTTTCATGAAACTTTCCAGGTCTGTCAAGTACATGCTGAAATGGTGCCTTTTGCTATTTAGAAATTTTAGAAATTTTTATTTTTTACGTTTCCATGGCAACAAGATGGACTTAGGTTCCAAACTCTTCTTTTTTTTACAATTTCCATGACTAGTTCCACCTCGGTTAAAAAAGGTTAGGGTTTGTTTAGATTTAATTATGTCATAAATTCTGCAACAGGGGCAGGGGATATAGCCACATTAGTGGCAAATTCTTGTTATTTTTTGCAATTGAAGCACCGAAACAAGCATCTTGTAGTTCTACATTTGTCCTTTCCAGATTGAATGTAATGCAATTCGAGTGCTTCTTCTCCCTTGATACTGATGGTTGATTAATACTGTCATTGGATTACAACAATGTACGTCGCTCACCTAATCGATAATACATTTTGACAGGGAGTTATTTTCATGTTACTTGTAATTTAGACTGCTGGTTACTATATTTGGTTGATTTCGTCTGGCCTGTGTTTGAAGGCTGACATTTGTTTATGAAGTTGCATGTATGACCTTATACTTTTAGTATCTATTAAGACGCTGTGCTTTGACAGCAAGTTTACATGACCAAGCTGCATTATATGACCTTGATCTTCAGCATGATGGATATACTACTAGGAGGACAGCTTCCTCATTCTGTGAACCCGCCAGCTGTTAATAAAAAAAAGATTTTGTTGTTGTTACTTCGAATTTTGACTTGAATTTACATGAAACGTACAGATATTCAAAACTGACTTGTAGATGTAAGTTTAAGTACATGCATGGGCTTTGTTTAAAAAGAGACTATATGCTCCATGTTCTGTATCACATTTTCAACCAAGATCCAGAAATAATAATTTGCGGCATGTTTGAAATTCAGACATTGTTTTTGTGTATGGTGGTTAGTCCCCAGCTGCAGATATTCAAAATATAATTTGAGTTTGCAGGAAAAGAAAATTATGTTTTGAATTACTTGCATCTAGGACTGCCAATTGCAGAGATCAGTGCTCATGATGTCAATCACTGGATTATTTACAGACCGCCGTGATATAGCTGGAATATTGCTGAGTGCTGAGTTAGCAAACAAACAAACAAATAAAATTTTCCAATATTTATGTTAATTAGGAAAACATATTAGAGGCAGATGACGTACTTGATTCAATCATAATAATGATATGTATATCAGGTTGTGTGAAATAGATCAATGCTCATGTCACTCACTGTATTGTCTGGTCCAGACTTGATTATTTAAAGACCACCGTCATATAGCTGGAATATTGCTGAGTGCAGCATTAACAAACAAACAAACAAAACTTTCCAATATTTACGTTAATTAGGAAAACATATAAGAGTCAGATGACACACATGATTTGAAATAGTGAAAGAACAATGGCCATCTCGATCACTGGATTGTCTGGTCCAGACATGATTATTTACAGACTACAAATAGCTGAAATATGGCTGAGTGCAGCATTAAACAACTAACATCAATGACCAATTGCCTCTTCCCCCTTGTGAGGGGCGGTCGGGTAGCCTAGTGGTTAAAGCGTTCGGTCGTCACGCCGAAGACATGGGTTCGATTCCCGACATGGGTACAATGTGTGAAGCCCATTTCTGGTGTCCCCCGCTGTGATACTGCTTGAATATTGCTAAAAGCGGCGTTAAACCCAACTCACTCACTCACTCTTCCCCCTTGTGATGTTGTGTATTGACTGTTGCAGGCCTTACATCAGTTGTATCCATCCAGCTCATTCAGTCCTGACATCACACCGATCATTCTGGCAGGGCACCGGGACAATTATGAAATCATCAAAATCCTCCTGGATAGAGGGTTCCGCATTCCCAAACCTCATGATGTTCGGTGTAGTTGCAAGGATTGTTTAACGGAGAGTGAAGACGACAGTTTGCGTCACAGTCGTTCTCGGATTAACGCCTACAAGGCATTGGTGAGTCCTTCACTGATTGCCCTCTCAAGCAAGGATCCCATCCTGACTTCGTTTGAACTGAGCCGAGAGTTGAAGCGCCTTAGCAAAATGGAGAATGAGTTTAAGGTGGACTATGAGAAACTTGCCACCAGGTGTCAGGACTTCGCTGTGGACCTCCTCGAGCAGACGCGAGGATCAAGAGAGCTGCAGATCATCCTCAACCATGACACATCGAGCGCTGGGACAGACGAACAGGGAGCAGAGAAAACCAAACTAAGCAGGTTGAAACTGGCCATCAAATACAAACAGAAACGGGTAAGAAACAGAGCTTAGGGTTATGCCAACCAGAATAAATTTTGAACATATGTTTGTCAGAGAATATATTTTAGTCACTATTAATTCTTTCTTACCAAATCCCTTTTTACCCAAAACTCATTTTTTTCAGGATATCGAGTGGAAAAATTATTATTTAATTATTATGAGGTAAAATTATCTTTTCTCGATTTTGCTCTATAAATCCCGGCCCCTCCACTTAGTATATCAAACCGGGGGCACGGGTGGCCCAGTCGTCTAAGGCGCCGCAACTTGCTGTGCAGAGTTGTGTCCCTTGGGCACGCCAGAAACCTATGATTGTGGGTTCGAATCCCGGTTCGCCCCGATTATGTTTCTAGGTTTGTCAGCACCATACCCGTGCTCATGGGTTTCACCAAAGTGGTAAACGTCTAAGACCTGCATCACTTCAGGCTTTCCTCCCACATTAAGCTGCCACGTTGCGATATAACTGGAATACTGTTAAAAGCGGCGTTAAACTCACTCACTCACTCACTAGTATATCAAATCATCAGTTAGTCAATGTCTTAGTGCTAAGATCACTTTGTGGAATGAGAATGTTTGGACAGCCTGTGTCTAAATGGACTTTTTTTATTCTAATAATTGTTTTCCTTTTCAGTTTGTATCACATCCGAACTGCCAGCAGCTTCTAGCCTCACTCTGGTATGAGGGGTTACCCGGGTTCCGCAGGCGGAATATCGTATCCAAGCTGATGATCACGCAAACTATTGGCATCATGTTCCCTGTGATGTCCCTGATCTATCTTATAGCTCCCAAGTGTTCCATTGGAGAACTCATACGCAAGCCCTTTATCAAGTTTATCGTCCATAGTGCTTCATATCTCACATTTCTGTGTAAGTCACATTTTATCTTCAAAGTTTTCTTCATCAGGTCAAAGAGCCCAAGTGGGCATGTGTCATGGCCTGGTTGTCACAGCTGGGATTATCACCATTATGTCACCATTTACCAAGCTTCATTTCGGAAGTGACAAGGGCGGTGGGGTAGCCTAGCGGTTAAAGGGTTGGCTCGTCACGCCGAAGACCCGGGTTCGATTCCCGACATGGGTACAATGTGTGAAGCCCATATCTGTTGTCCCCCGCATTGAAATTGCTGGAATATTGTCAAAAGCGGCGTAAAACCATACTCGCTCACTCACTCGGAAGTGACATCAGCATCTCAATTCTGTTGTCACTCCTGTAGCACAGAACCTGTCTTGTTCATAAGAGTGCATGGATTGGGAAGTTTAGCATCATGATTCAAATCTGGATCAAAACAAAGATTACATGGCGGGTGGGTCCAGTGTATTTATCATAAGCCAGACTTTTTTTGCATTTTTTGGGTGGGGCTAGTTACTAATTTTGATGACCCAGTCGTCCAAGGCGACGCGATTTGCTGTGCAGAGTTGAGTCCCTATGATTGTGGGTTTGAAACCTATGATTATGGGTTCGAATCCCGGTTCACCCCAATTATGTTTCCAGGTTTGTCGGCACAATACCCGTGCTTGTGGGTTTCACCAAAGTGGTAAACGTCTGAGACCTGCATCACATCGGGCTTTCCTCCCACATTAAGCTGACACGCCACAATGTAACTGGAATACTGTTAAAAGCGCGTTAAACTCACTCACTCACTCACTCTTTCTTTTTTTTACCTTTGCGTGGTTTGAGTCCTCATATCAGTCAGAAATCTAAACACTTTAATTTTATTATCATTTTTATTGTCAAAGCGATCTCCTCTGGCAGCAGTGTCATTCTGTTTTGTTTTTTTCATTTCTGTTTTTTCTATTTTTATGGTCACAGAGCCTTAAACCAAGCAAATGAATGTAAAGCAAAAGTAGAAAGGTGTGATGCACTGGATAGTCAGAGATGGTTTGGCCTTGTTGATAGGGAGATTACTCTTTGTTGTATGCTGTTCAACAGTGTATGCTCAGTAAGCATCATGTGGCCAAAGCTGCCTATACCTCTAACATGTACTGTTATATTCAACCCAAAGAAAATGTTATCCTTTATACCAGATACCACAATCAGTTCCAGCAAAATCACTTCCAGCACAATCCCTTCCAGCAAAATCACTTCCAGCACAATCACTTCCAGCACAATCCCTTCCAGCAAAATCACTTCCAGCACAATCCCATCCAGCACAATCCATTCCAGCACAATCCATTCTAGCACAATCACTTCCAGCACAATCAATTCTAGCACAATCCCTCCCAGCACAATCCCTCCCAGCACAATCCCTCATAGCACAATCACTTCCAGCACAATCAATTCTAGCACAATCCCTCCCAGCACAATCAATTCCATCACAATCACTTCAAGCAAAATCACTTCCAGCACAATCCCTCCCAGCACAATCACTTCCAGCACAATCAATTCTAGCACAATCACTTCCAGCACAATCGCTTGAAGCACAATCACTTCTAGTACAATCCCTCCCAGCACAATCACTTCTAGTACAATCACTCCCAGCACAACCGCTGTAAGGAGCCTCTATGGTGTGTAGCCAAGTGATAAAAGCTAGCTTCGATTCCCCACGTCACTCATGTATATGGGTACTCTACCCCTTGATATCGCCTCTTCCCCTCTGAACACTGTGAAGAAAAGCTGTCAGTACCAGCTCTACCCCTCGATATGTCCTCGTAATACAAGGAAGAAAAGCTCTCAATACCTACTCCCCTCAAGGCTTTCATTTATTTTCATTGGAACAAAGAAACAACTCCCAAGCAATGGAATCTTCTTCATAGCAGAATGCAAGACATGTCCGTCAAGGAAGTATTGATTGGGTTAGTGTGGACAGAGAAGTTATGAAAGATACATGGTGGCTATTCTTTATTGAATGAGACTTCAAAGCCCTTTTAAGTTTCTCAACCACACATTGGGTATTTCTTCAAAAACATTGTCTTTGGGTGCAGCTTTTGAGGCTGTTTTGGCACAGGGAAATTCAGTCCAGTTTCCGAGCAAGCCTTAATTATATTAGGCATGTAACTCAGATTCTGTTAATTTCGTTGATTTTGTGAGTAATGTACATGATGCAAGTCTTTACCTCATCTGACACAAATAGCCTTTGAACTTATGTCATAACGAATCATCTGTCAATATCATCTGAAAGCCTTTTCCATCTGCGACTTGTGCCCAGAAACCAAATGAGCACGGAATCTGAAGCACAGCAATGAATGCGCCTGTATGCCCAGTTCCCTTTGGTTTCATGGCAATCTTACTGGAAAAGCTGTATTTGGACATTGGTCCTTCCTGTTTACCCATGAAGATTCCGGGGTAGAGTAGGTCTTCAGCAACTCATGCTTGCCATAAAAGGTGACTATGCTTGTCGTAAAAGGCGACTAAAGGGATCGGGTGGTCAGGCTCGCTTACTTGGTTGATGCATGTCATCGATCCCAATTGCGTGGATCGATGCTCATGATATTAATCACTGGATTGTCTGGTCCAGACTCGATTATTTACAGACCGCCGTCATATGGCTGGAACATTGCTGAGTGCAGCGTTAAACAACCAACCAACCAACCTGTTTATTCGGGGGCTGGAATTGGCTGTGCAGAATCCTATGATCATGGGTTCGAATCCAAATTTCAACCTGATTATGATTCTTGGTTTGTCTGTACCATGACCATGCTTGTTAGTTTCACCATGATGGTAACATCTGAGACATGAGTTGCTTCAGGTTTTTCTCCCACATCAAGCTGCCTCACCATGACATAACTGAATAATGTTACACACACTCTCTCTCTCTCTCTCTCCCTCTCTCTCATTTGTAATCATCTTGCTTGTTGCATGAGCATGTTCAACGCCAGCCCTTTCAGAAAATGCTACCTGGCTTGTCCCCTCTACTTGTCATACATGCTTCTCAATTAAAACCCCATACAGATACTGTTTTTCTAATTGCCTCCACATGTCTTTGAAAGATTTAATTTTAAACAAACATTGTCAGTGGCAAACCTTCACTAATGTAGGTTACCCAAACCATTAATATCGTTCTGGCAATTGATATAAATGCAAACAGCCATCCTGTCACTTAGCTACAGTGTAGATTTGTTTTTTCCCGAAACTTTGATAGGCATGCACGCATTTCCTGTAGATGGTGCTGTGTTGGATGAATCATCGTGACGAGTTATTGCTCTGGGCTTGATAGCAAAACATTCAATTTTCGAAGAAAAACATGTAACCATGGCAATAGCAGACATAACAATATGGGGTTTATAGTGTGAATAGGACAGGAAACATTAGTGGCTACAGATTAAATAGTCCAGGATGCAAGGGAAATGATATTTCATATTTCATATTCTGTGCACACACTAGGGAGTTATGATGAACGAGTTAGATTATTGAGAGGTGGAATAATATATGGTTCTTTGTAGATCTGAATGAACATGCACAAAGATGCATTGGAGTTGGTCACTCAGTTCAGAAGGTCAACCTGAATTTGTTGTCACTGTCCGTTCTTAGCCATATTGTAGTTGGTACCGCACTTCTGAATGAGTGAGAGAGTGGGTTTTTAAGCCGTTCTTAGCCGTATTGTAGTTGGTATCGCACTTCTGAATTTGTGAGTGAGTGGGTTTTTAAGCCGTTCTTAGCCATATTGTAGTTGGTACCGCACTTCTGAATGAGTGAGTGAGTGGGTTTTTAAGCCGTTCTTAGCCATATTGTAGTTGGTACCGCACTTCTGAATGAGTGAGAGAGTGGGTTTTTAAGCCGTTCTTAGCCATATTGTAGTTGGTACCGCACTTCTGAATTTGTGAGTGAGTGGGTTTTTAAGCTGTTCTTAGCCATATTGTAGTTGGTACCGCACTTCTGAATGAGTGAGAGAGTGGCTTTTTAAGCCGTTCTTAGCCATATTGTAGTTGGTACCGCACTTCTGAATTTGTGAGTGAGTGGGTTTTTAAGCTGTTCTTAGCCATATTGTAGTTGGTACCGCACTTCTGAATGAGTGAGAGAGTGGGTTTTTAAGCCGTTCTTAGCCATATTGTAGTTGGTACCGCACTTCTGAATTTGTGAGTGAGTGGGTTTTTAAGCCGTTCTTAGCCATATTGTAGTTGGTACCGCACTTCTGAATTTGTGAGTGAGTGGGTTTTTAAGCCGTTCTTAGCCATATTGTAGTTGGTACCGCACTTCTGAATGAGTGAGTGAGTGGGTTTTTAAGCCGTTCTTAGCCATATTGTAGTTGGTACCGCACTTTTGAATGAGTGCGTGAATGGGTTTTTAAGCTGTTCTTAGCCATATTGTAGTTGGTTCTGTACTTTTGAATGAGTGAGTGGGGTTTTAAGACGTTCTTAGCCATATTGCAGTTGGTACCGCACTTTTGAAAAAGTGTGTGAGTGGGTTTTAATCCAGTATAAGCCATATTGTAGTGGTTCAACACTTCTGAATGAGTGAGTGTGTTTTAAACCAATTTAGCTTTACTCCAGAACTCCAGTTGACATCCATAAGTTCTCTGCCTTCTAATCAGGGTAATGTCTGGCAAACCTAACAGGCCTGCACAGTGAAATGCAAGCATCTAGCTGTGCTCCCTTGGTATAAGGATGGAACACTTTTACTGCTAACCTACCCAACTGCCCTTTAACATATGAGCTATATTCCTATATGTAACAGGGTTAATGTAGCAGGGGTTGTTTTGACAACAGGCTCCCTGTTGAAATGTTTTGTCAGAAAAGGTTGCTATCTGACCTGGTTGATTCTTTGTCACTGTACCCTGCAAGTGCTGCTCATGCTGTCAATCATTGGTTTGCCTGGTCAAGACTTGTAATATTTATAAGCCACCATAATATAGGTAGAATAAATTTAACAGCAGCATGTAATAACACACATCCATTGTAAATTTCTTTTGACAGAACAGCACAATGACTTCA